GACAACATTTACACGTGGTTTATACTGAATATAAAGCACGTGTTGCCGCGTATGATTATGAAACATTTTCCTAAGTAGCGTTATTCGACAGTTTATCTTATTAATATTGTAAACGCAAAGTTCATGAGTATGGATGTATGTTCGTTACTATTTCACGCAAAATGTACTGAACTGCTTTTGATGAAATTTTACAGTAACATAGATTATACATCAGAAACAAAAAAAATCATTCAAAACAGCTTGTCTATACATGTAAAGAAAATTGGAGTATTTGTAATATTGAAATAACCGTTTTTTACTACCTGCTTATGAACATAAATACGTTATATAGACCAAAATAACATTTTTTACAATTTTTGTCTGTCTGTCTATTTGTTCTGGCTAATCTCTGAAATTACTGGATCGATTTTGACGGGATTTTCTTTTGCAGGTATCTGATGTAATAAGGAGTAACTTAGGCTACTTTTATTTTAGAAAAATAAAGTTAAATACCCGGACGAAGTCGCGGAAACAGCTAGTAAAAATATATTTTAAAACTTTTTTCTAAATTTCCTTAAATTTGCAAACGAGTAGTCAATATAAAATCTATATAAGTTCGTATCTATTGGTCATACAAAACAAGACGATAGAGGAAACGTAATATTTATTACATGTAATTTTCTGAGACTGTTCATTTCACATAGGAAATTAAAGGTCTATGCCGACATAACTGAGGACAGTGGGTAATAGTGAGTGGATATTATAAATTGATACACCAAGATGAATGGCGCGAAATCTCTTAATTTAGGCATATAAGTATTTTATACAGTGCTAAAGGAGTTCGTGTCGTACTTTCTTACATTTGACGCGAAAACACAAATATAGGGATAAAACGTAAAAAAATCCTTTATATTTTACGTTGACTTAATGTAGTTAGTAGTTTATAAAATGTTACCACAATTCTATATAACTTAATTGGAAAGTTTGATAAATATTATTCTACTTCTTTTTATACAATTGTTATATTTAAAAAATAGTTTATAATAATAATCTCAGGACAATTCACACAGCGCCATCGAGGCCCAAGTTAAGCTAGCTAAAGCTTGTGTTATGGGTACTAGATAACTGATACAAATACATAGATATTTTTTTTTTGTAAATATATACATATTATACATAGAAAATACCCAGACCGGTACAAACAATCATCATCATACTCATATATACAAATGTTTGTGCCGTGCGAGGAATCGAACCCGCGACCATCGGTCGTAAAGCGGTGTGCTAGACCGCTAGACCACCGAGGTCGTCCTTTTACGAGTTTATTAGCTTATAGCATAGTAAATGAGTAATATCGTCAAATACATTTTCAAGGTTCATAAAATGAATACTTTCTTATATCTACAACATGTTACATAAGTATAGTATTTTTGTGCAATATAATTATCTGCGATATTATATAAATCACATGACTAAAATCTGTAGCTGGTTCGTACATATCTATTTGCTCGTTATATTTTTAAATAGATAATTACGGAATTTTAACGACGGGGATGTGAAAAAAAAAGAAATCGTAAATATAAAATCATATGTGAATGTAAATGTTTGTTCATTTAGTCCATTGTGCTCGTTTGTCTGAAATTCATCACGATGATTTGCAGAATAAACGTATATAAAATATGAAAGCAGGAGTGGGACAAAATTAACATTAAAAATTGGTCAATTAAACATTAATCTTGGGGGCAACTTTAGGTACATAATTGTGTAGAAATAGAAATAATCTTTATTCAAATAAACTCAAAACAAGCTTTGTGGATTTTTTTTTTCGGAACGCATCCGTCTGACATCAGCGTTACTAACAATAACGCCCCTAGTCCCAGTGACTAACGAGGCCCTGAGCTCCTGTAATAGAATATTAAAAAAAATACTTTGAGTGTTTATACAATTCTCTACCTGCATGCCGTAGAACATTAATTTTTATTTTTCGGTGTACTTTTAATAAGTAGATGAATCATCGTCGTCTTTATATTAGCCAGTTCGATGGTCTTCCTGAATGTCGGTCTTTCTTGCCAATGACAACCTGAATATTTTAGAGGCACATGCATCAATTGACTATTCATAGATTTAGGTCTTATTTAGGTTTAGGAGTAGGTCAACAAAAAGAAAATGTAACAACTAAATAAAATATATTATTTAGTTAATTGCTCCTTCTTGAAATTTAACACAGAAAGTTTATTAATGTAAACATCTGTAGGATCATTTAATTGTACAGTAAATGTAGTACATATATTATTGTCTCGGTGGTCTAGTTGTTTAGCATAGGTACCTCTTTAATACCGATGATCGCGATTGATTGTGGTGTATTTACAAACAAATAATATATCAATTATCTAGTACCTATCTCACGGGCTCTGCTTATCTTAAGACTAGATCGCGCTGTTTGAATTGTCCAGGGTAATTATTATTATTATAATATCTAGTATATTAATATTAGAACTATAAATATATAATAGATATTTTTTTTTATTATTTGCTTATGAGTATCAAGAAAGTAAAATGGAAAGTGTATTAGACTTTAAAATATTGTTTTACTATAACATGGCTAATAAATCAATAAAATCATTGACGGAAAAACATTTCCTCGTAGCATGAAAATAAATAGACACGTGTCTGACCAACTGACTAACGTAACGAAGTTTAGACTTTAAAACAGCTTACTGTTCTTCATCACATTTCCAAACGGAAGTAATACAAAATAAATAAATAAAAATACCTACTAACTGATAGGAATTGATTTAGTGGCACTTATAAACATGCACGTGTTTTTATGGTACTGTATTTTGTTTCAAAGTGAGAAATGGCAGGGAAATTACAGGTGGAATGACAACGGATCAGATTTATTACCCTAAGCTTCATATGATAATATGCTTCACGGCCTCGGTGATCCAGCGGTTTAGCACGCTTTACAATGATCGCGAGGTCGATTCCTCACATGGTGAAAACTATTGCATTTATCAGTACGATTATTTGTATCAGTCTGCGTGTTTTCTATGTTTATTATGTATGTATTCACAAGAAATATATGTAAGGATTTATATTCGTTGTCTAGTACCCATAACACAAGCTTTGCTTATCGTAATTGTCCAGAGTTATTTATTTATCCCTCAGGCGGTATCGAAACACTTAGCGTGAGGCGAGACTTCGCATCGCTTTGTACATTCTACTGTGTTCTGACAAATTTAACATGATGCCTACGGCTACCCTTTGCCATAGCACCGCTCGCAACACCAACTTATTCCCAAACGCTGGAATCTATGTGGACTTGGGCAGTGCAGTTTCAGAGGCGCTTCCTCCAGAGTACACTTAGGTTGTGGAATGAACTACCTGCCGAGATTTTCTCGAGAGACTACAGCATGAGGTTTTTCAGAAAAGATTAACTACAAATCTCTGTGTATGTTTTGTAAATCATAATTTATATAATAGAATGTGTTTGTGCGACGTACAGTATCTACAATAGCGTGTGCGTTTACCTATATTAAAATTGAATTTAAAAGTTTGTTTTCTACGACATATATAATTTATTCAAATATCTTTCGTAAAATAGAATTGTAACTTTTTCAGATGTCAACATGAGTTTTAAAACTACTGCACTACATGTGAATAGTCTCCTGGGGACAAAATGTCGCACATCTGAGCAGGTTTGTACGTATACTCTTTATTTATTCCCAGATATAACAAAATAAATAGGCAAAATTTATGAATTCCTTAGTTAATTTTTAAAATAAGAAGTTATAGAGTTTATTTCTTATTGTTAAATTCGCAGGTCACGAAGATAAATTAATTTTATAGAATATTAGATAAAAATGTACAATCATTATTAAACAGCTATGTATAATATATTTATTTTATTTATATATATTTTAATTACATATACAAATAAAATAAATATAGGTATTAACATTTATTAAATTGAAAATACAATTCCTTTATAACCATTATATTCACCCTAACACATTATTATTTATGTCATATAATTAATATATATGTATATCATATATATATATATATATATATATATATATATAAAATATATCAACTTTATCAATAAGTTAATATATTTTATAATAACTTATAAGGTATTCACCAATAGAATTCTTTTAGTTCTTAAGTACAGATCTTAGAAGCTAGTTTTACTGTTGAATTTCAAGTCATGTTGTTTATATATAATTAAAACAGGGCAATTCCTATGTATACGTAAGTTATTCACACATTCTCTTATGTGGGCTGATTGTCCTGAAAAGGTCATGGTATAAAAACTTTTGTAAATAGTAGTAATATGTTTATGGAGTGGGAGTTTTTAGCATATATCAAAGGATAACATATAGAGAAATCGTACCAATATTTAGTTGGAATAAAAAAAAAATTATAACAAAGAAGAAGTTATAAATAAACAAGAAATGTACTATGCATTCACTATTGTATATATCATTCAATACCTTTTATTATGTTATCGTCTCGCAGTAATATCGCTCTACCTACTTGAAACAAGAAACAGTGCACACATTCCGTCATAAAAAAATAATATTCTAAGCTGATGAAATGTCACATCATATTTTCTTCATAAAACTGTGTTATTGCAATCTTAAAAATCTCAAGATACGCTAAATTGCCATTTCAATATTATATTACCATTCTTTTTTTTTTCAGGTAACAAACAGACGTTCATCAATATGCTAATTTATAAGCTTATAGTTTATTTTGATTTATTATGGTGAACTTGACATAGCGTGTACAGGGTCTACCTATATTGACCTCTAATTCATTTTGGTTGTCCCCATACGCCTGGCACAACGGTAGTTGATTTCAGTGGTGCTTCGACCGCGTCGCTACTTGGTCGTATCCGTCAGTATATTTCAAATGAGATCGTTCCATTTTGACGATGTTATATTTTAAATGAAAACTGCCACATATTAGTTAAATAGTGATATGGAATAATTAGTGATTGCAATTTATGACTCTAACAAGTCTAAGATTGATTTATTTATTTAAAGTTTTGGAAATTTTCACTTCTCTTCGAGTTACAGAGTAAGTTTTTTTAATAATACTTAAGCAGGAGTAATGATTAAAATAAAGTTCTATGTGGTAAAATAAATTAGCAGTAATAAATGTTTTTTTTTTAATATTTTAACTAAAAATGACCCGGGACAATTTGATTCAATAGGAATCAAATTGTCAGGGAAAATCAAGATCATTACAGACACGACTGCATGATTGATGTTAGGTTGTTTATAGTATTTATATTCGTCTTTTAGCACGAGCGATAGGTACCCATGTGTGAATAATAATATGTTGATGATAGCTACGAAGAAAACTTTTTTTTTTAATTCATTTGAAAATAAACTTCGGCCGTTAATAAAGATGTATCAGTTTTGAAATAGAAAATGATGTTGAGCTTTTTTCAATTTAAGATTAAGTTTTTAATGTTTAGGGTTTCTAACCACTTCAGCTTATTTTATATGCAAGAAATAAAATATGATATTGAAGATGATGTGGTAAAATTGTGTTTTTATTTAAGAATTAATTAAGTAATTATACCGTTGTAATTAAATTTTATTCTCCATTGATGCCACGCCAGCGTGTACCGTTAGTGCTGGCATGTAGGTGCATTGATATATTAAAATAACTTTCATACATAAAAGTAGTAGTAAAAATGTACTAAAATATTACAACAAGCCAAAGACTTCTGGATGACCGAAGTAGGGGATCTAGACTTGCCCTTGCCTGACTTTGTACAAAGTCCCCCGACGTCATAAATTGACAGATTTTCTTATTATAAGAGTTTCGAGTGTCATTATTTGCAGCCGGATCAGTTTAAAATACAAAAATATTTCTTAAGCTGTTTTAAAAAAGGTGTTCAATAATACAATTTTAAATGTGTAATAGTCTCTCCTGATTCATTTTTTAGTGTTGTCTATGGAAGCAAAACACCTTAATTTTCAGAAGACTCTATGTTTTTGTTTGCGTCTATATTTTTATTTTTTTTATACTTTTTATGTATATTTATCCTTTCTACAACAGCCAACACTTTTCCATAAGGTGGGCTCAGCAGTTATGTTAAATGTTAAAGTTATGTTTTGAATGGGCGGTGAGATATGATAGTGAAATTTCAGGATGCGAAAGTTATACCTTCGTATCCTGAAATTACCTCACCTCATTTCTCTGAAATTGTAACTAATGACAACTACAAGTATCATATGATGACATAATATCCGAGCGGTTATTCATGAACATAGTCGACGCGACAGTTCCCACTTACCACCAGCATGGGCTGCCAGCATGTTTGTCTTTACAAAAAAAGTATTTTATAATAAGTAGAAATTTGTTTGCATGATATTTTTTTATTTCATATCTAATTTTGTTATTATCGTGTACCTAACGATTATAAAAATAGACTTGTAGAACAAGTTTGTTTTGGTTGTGAAGGTCATTCAGAGGGATTGGTTTCGAGTAAAAACATCAAAGGACCCATCTCAATTACAGTATTATTATCACGTGTAATTCATAACATCTGAATGAATATTGGAAATAAATTATTATCTTTACTGAGGTGCGACGTATTTTTTTAAATACGACGCCATACCACAACGCAAAAGACGAGTTATTTCACCTAACAATCCACTGAGAATTTGTAAGCAATTTTGTAAGCACGTTGTATTTATCTAAATTACAATGAGATTGAGTCTATCATTGCTATAAGTTTTTATATATATTATTGATATATTCATAATATATAGATCCTTTAAGGTAGATCAAGAGAATTATGTGTCAAAAGTCTTACTTGAGCACAATTGAGCCTAACTAGTTTCATGCTACGCATGATATGCATGCCGATCGTACGAGATCATGACCGATGGAAATCAGTTAAAGTACGCTGATGTAAGTTAGAGTCAAATCGGACTATGTATAGTTATTTCTTCGTGTAAGGTTAAATGTTTTAATGTTGGCAACCCTGCACTAGAAAACAATATGCAGTACATCCGGTACTTTAGTAGTAGTAGTAGTCCAGTACATTAGTAACTTTTGATTCCCTAGATAGCACAAAATATTTTTTGGTTTTAATAGATCTGTCCAGATTTTCCTAGTAGTTCTTTCCAGTTTTGTATTAAATATATTGTCATTATTTTTCCCAATATTGATTCCATGTCCCCTTTACTTTCTCATACTGATCTTGTAAATTAGTGAATTCTTTTATTGATAACACAAATATAAGGCAACACAGGAATTACCTTATATTATTTGCCAGTTTCACTTATTTCTTATACTGACATATGTAGATATAGTTAGTTAGTTACGAATAAATAAGAGTTTTTCTATTTAATATATCTTAAATGAAATTAATGTTCATTCTGCTCGTATTGACATTTTCTAAAATGATTATTGAACTATATGTTTACGTATCAACATGCATTTTTTATTATAAGTCTATTATAATATAAAATAGGCAGTTTAAAAATAATATTTATAAAAGTGTTCATGCAATTTTCACTTTTTTAAGATGTCTGTACATGTGAATTTCGTCATAGTCTCGTATGACGTCTTATCTGAAACATGTTTGTTTATAGCAGTATCTAGATATAGGTCTTGTGGGACCAATGTTTATTATAGTTTTTCGTCTATTTCTACCATCATTAATGCGTGTGATATTGAAGTTCTGATAGACAATGTAAATTACTTAAGACTATGTATAACAACAGGAAATTATATTAAATGTATTCAACTGTACGTTCAACTGCCATTCTTGGTAAAATTTAAATTTAATTAATTTCTTCAAGTAAACTACTTGGTTTCTATTTATAGTTTTAAATTCTAGATTAGGTAGTCCGACATTGCTTGAACCGAGGAAAGTACTGCCGTACTATCGTGTTCTCGCGATGAATTACGGCTTTATTGATCGTTGTGTAACTGTAACATGCACTGAAATTAGCATATACACATTTCTTACAGTATTTCCAAGATAGGTACAATCAATCAACTGCCAGATCGTTTAAGTAGATATGTACAATAAGCAGCAATATATAATTTAATCGGAGATTCTTAATTAGACTGAACGATTAGTACTGTAAGTATTTATTTATTAACATTGACATTACCTGAATTATTGTTTCTCTGAAATAAAGATTGACGTCTTTGTGTTGGACTTGCACTGAGTTTATGTGTATGAATAAAGTTCCTAAATTCGTCATTCATAAGGTCCACAGTATAAACAATATAATTTGATGGCCTCGGGGTTTAGCGGTTTAGCACACCGATTAGCTTCCTATAGTCTCGGGTTCGATTCCTCGCAAAGTATAAACATTTATATCTATGAGTATTAATTGTTTCGGTTTGTGTGTTTTCTATGTATATTATGTATGTATTTAAAAAAATGTATGTATTTATTTATATCAGTTGTCTAAACCCATAACACAAGCCTTGCTTAACTTGGGACTGGTAGGTATCGAGTGAATTGTCGAGAGATATTATTATTAATATAAATCTGTCACTGGTCCTTCAAGCTTTGTGTTGGACAGTCGACAGTTACATCTATTTGCAGATTCTTGCTAATGAATTTATAGTAAATGAATCTCTTAAGATTTAATATTAATGAATTATCCATTTATTTTCGTAATTTAAATAAAAATATACTTATATATACACATACATATAATAAGTAGATAAGAAATTTTTTGTCACGTATTACTTCTTAATGGAATATCATTAACATACTTAATTACAATAAATCGTGGTAAGTGACTGACATAATTACATTACAAATTAAAGGTTTTTAATATTATACTATATTTAGGTAAGTAGGTAGTTTTTGTTATTGTAGGTATTGGATATGACTATACCTTGCTCCGTGGAAGCTGTTTTATTGTTCAAATATTAGAATTGCCATAACAGTATCCACTACGTATTATTCTGGCGATTCATTTTGACCGCCTTTATTATGTGTTTTCATTCCTTGCTTTAATAATTGCTCCTATATATATCTAGATTGAATACCATAGCACCATGAAATATATCCGATTGATACTCTGTCTCATTCGAATGGGAATCGAAATAGTGCGTCCTAGGGTGAAGTTCGAACGAGGTGAAATGAGATACCCAGAGGTGTTGAGATTAAAGTCATATCTGCCAGGCGGAAGATGGTCTACAGCCCCTCCATAAGTCTTTGCACGTTTAGAGTACCTTCAGGACTCGGTACAATTTCGTCTGGTGAATCTGTAAAGGGTTGCTAGAACACCGCAAATAAATATATAAAAAAATACATACATTTATACTCGTGTTGTTAGAACAACACGAGTATGAATGTACCTATGTATTGCATGTGAAGTTTGGGGGAGCTGGTTTATTAAAAACGCAGTTTATGGACGAGTAACAGGTATACCGTATGCATTAAATCCTGGCTTTAATACCGCCTACACACGGGAAAGAGACTTATTTCGACTTAAGCGAGTCAGTAATGAATGTGGATTTTTAAGTATTTAAGTACCGGAATTTTATTTAAAAAGATAACAGTATATTTATTTAATTTTGGAATATAAATAAAATTATTTTTAGCAACATAATCTTCAACCGCAATTAGAAAAAAAACAGTAATTAGACGAAAAGAAAAATATTACACGACCTGAATATATTCATTAACTTTTACATGAGTGAAATACTAACTAATGCGATACAATTTGCTATATTACGATCTTTATGTATACAGTATAATAAACCTACAGAAATAAAACCAACAAAGAGTTAGTTCAGGGCATCATAATGAAAATAATTTTGTTCTGTTTGTTTACAAGATAACAAGGGTATGAGTTTTATGTAGAGATCTATAGCACAGTCAACTAAGTCAATGGACTTCATTGAGTAAAAAAATCATTTTGACGTACTTACCCTTTCTAATATACATACTCGTAGTACTTATATCTTCTATTAATTTAACATTATAATAAAGTCACATTTAGTAGTAGACCTTATTTTCAGAAATGTAGTTTATAATGAGAAAAATAAAAGTACACAAAAATATTTACAATTTATAATAAATT